CGTAAACATTAACAGCTGTCGCTACAGTTTTATTATTATTATTTTTTAAATCCTTACCTAAGGATATTTTCCCATTGCTTTTTAGAGCGTGGGAGAGAGAGAAACACCGACGTGAGAGACACACGATTGGCTGCTTCCTGCACGTGCCCCAAACGGGGCCGGGGACCAAGCCTGCAACCGAGGTACATGCCTTTGGCTGGAATCAAACCCAGGACACTTCAGTCCACAGGCCGACAGCCTGACCACTGAGCCACACCAGCCAGGGCTACAGCTTTATTCTTTAGTAAACAACTTTGCGACACACATAAGCGCAAGAAAAAGACAACCTGCTGCCTGCTGATAAAGCAAGTAATAGAACCAGACCCAGAGCACGCTCAGAAACGGAAATATTAAGCAAAAATGTTAAAATAAGTATGAGAATATGTTAAAGGATCTGGAAGGAAATTCGGCAGCATGAAGGGATGGAGTAATTATTGCAGAGAAACAATAATTATAAGAAAGTCAATCGGAAATCCCAGAGGGAAGAACCGCAGCCTCAGAGACGAAGGGTCTTCTCATGAGCTCATTAGTGGAGCTGACACAGCCGAGGAGACTCGGTGACTCTGAAAAGGGCCGACAGCGATGACCCCGAACTCAGAGAAGAGAGCGAATGACGCAGAGCTGGGCACGCGGGGCTGAGAAAACGCCGAGCGGTCGACAGACACGGAGAGACGCGGGGCCCCAGGAACAGGAGGGGGGACAGCAAGAGACGTCTGGGGTGACAGTGACCGGGAATGTTTTATGAGTCATGAAATATTTCACAGCACGGACACGAGCGTGTTAGTACCCAGGTAGGATGGGTATCACACACGCACACGTGCACACACACACATACATAAACACACACGCACACATGCACACACATGCACGCACACATGCACACACTTACACACACACATGCGTGCGCACACACACACACACACACACACGGCCACCTCCTAGTCTACCTGATAAAATTACAAGATAAAAAAAAATCGTAAAGGCAGCCAGGGAACAGGGTCCGATGCATGAGAAATACAGCCGGCGGGTCATCGTAAACTAGGAAGCGAGAGGCAGAGCAGTGGCATCTTTAATGTGTTAAAAACGGAGAGACGGCCCAGCTGGGTGGCTCAGTGGCTGCGCATCGACCCCGAACCAAGGGGCCGCCCCTTCTAGCCCCCGGCAGGGAACCGGTGCCCAGCAGGCGCGAGCAGGAGGCAGCGACGGATGTTTCCCATCGACGGTTCTCTCTATCCCCTCCCTCCCCCTCGCTCTAAAATCAATGAAACCATATTTAAATCAACAACAAAAACAACAGAGTGACTTCAACCCATGCTCTATGCCCAGTAAAGATACCTCTCAGAACTGAAGGCGAGACGATGACCTTCAGGAAAAACCCACAAAAGCGGGAAGAATGTGCTGTCGGCAGAGCCGAAGTACAAGAGATGTCTAAGGAGATTCTTCAGACAGAAAGAAATTAAACCGAAACGTGGGTCTACCCAGAGAAATAAGGAGCTCTAACGACATTAATATAAAGGTAAATATAAATGGTTTTTCTGGGTTTTGATCACTCTAAAGAACACTGACTATGTGGAGCAAAAATAGTTACAATATTTCATGGGCTTTGTGACAAGTAAAAGTAAAGGTAAAACTAGAACAGCATAAAGAAGAAAAAAGAAATTGAAAGTATGTTCTCATTAGGTTATTATAATAGACACAAAGTGACACCGTATCCCTCGAAGGTAAGCTGTGGATGAGTGTTTTACATTCTAGGGAGGCCATTAAATTTTTAAATACTTTTCTCCAATAAGCCCACAGTGGAGACAGATTGGAGCAATAATAAGACTCAATTAAACCAAAGTTGGCAGGAAAAGAGGGGGAAATCCACGGAATACAAATAGGACAAATGGAAACAATGTAACAGAACCCACGTGTTCATTATCATCAGTGATTCCGCCACCAAACCCCACTGACACCAGCGCACGCCTGTCCGTGGACAGTCACGCCGCACGCGGTGCCTCACGTGCAAGAGGAAGGGAGGCAGAGGCGTCGGCGTGACACGGACGCATCGACTGGCTGCCTCTACGCGCCCCGGCTGGGCCAGGAACTGAGCCCACAGCCCAGGGACGTGCCCGTGGCCGGGATCGAACCCAGGACCCTTCAGTCTGCAGGCCGACGCTCTAACCACTGAGCCAAACTGGCCAGGGCCAGCATATTCTTCATTAAGATGATGCATCGGTATATATATCAACAGACGCTCACACGCACAAACTTATATCTAATATTTTTCCTGGCGATTCAGCAACAGCTACCACCATGCTGTCCCCAAGGAGCAGGTTCCATCTCACACCGTTAGGTCTGATTTTCTATTTTCCAGGATAAACCAGCATCATCCTCACCTACCTGTCTATAACCTGAAGTCCCCAGATACTTGTTCACTCATTTGTTCAGTTTCCTTTTGGTTGTTTTTCTGAATAAAGAGCCCAGAGTGAGAGTGGCGGGTGGCCACCCCGCTGTGCGACGTGTCCCGCGTCCGGGGTGTGAGGGAGGCGGACGCTGCGGAGGCAGGAGGCATCGGGAGACGCCCATCTCTTCAGATTCGCATGGATTATAAATTCACAGAAACCTGGGTCATACAGACCGGGCCGGACCCCTGAGCACAGCTTTGCTTTTGTTAGTTAGTCGCCTACGACCCACCCCTTCAAATCAGAGGGTGGGTCTTCCGTCTGAGAAGCCCACCTGCCTTCCTTGGGAGCAGGGGACTGACCTGAGCAGGGCCCCATCTTCATGTCCACCCGAGAAAACCAGGCCAGGGGATCTGACCCACAGGCTCCGGACCTGCCGCGTCCCAGTCAACTCCCAGACACAGGTGCCATCAGTGGGACGGCTGGGTCCCCGCGCAGCGGCTCAGGACAAGGAAGCCCCGCGGGAGGAGGAACGTTGGCGTCTGTCTGCCCTCGGTCAGTGATGAGCAGGGTGAAGACCTGGGCGCCCTGAAAATGCCCCCACCCTCCGCTCCTTCTTTCAACGCTGACCTGCCCTCAAACACGGGACTGTCCCGAGGACATGAGCAAACCGTCTACCAGGTCCAGACCTGGCACAGAGCATGTGCTCACGGCTGGTTTATTACTATTGCACGGATATAATTTTAGTGAAAAGTCTGAGTTTAGAGGCTTGCAGGTTGGCCACACATATTTTAAGGTAGACGCAGAATTATGTCAGCAGGTGACAAATATTGGATGGTCTTTTGGCAACTTAGTTCAACAGCCCTTACCCTGTTTGCTGCTGACCTGANATTGGATGGTCTTTTGGCAACTTAGTTCAACAGCCTTTACCCTGTTTGCTGCTGACCTAAGATTAGTTCTGCATGCACTTTATATAACCCACACTTTATACTCTGCAGAGAATTAGAAGAGACGTGACTGCCTCGGAAGGAAGCACAGGAGCTATCCAAATGGCGTTAACATCTGAAGGGAACCACTAAAAAAAATAACAAATAAAATCGCAGCGTTACGTTTGGCCAGAAAAAAAATAAACACGTTAACTAATTAAACAAAGCCTTAGATTCTTGGACAAGAGTCATACGGGAGAGAGATATTTTCGTCTCTCTCTTTGAAGGAAGCACATTGGCTGGGAATAAAGGGAATGCAGGTGAGTTACTGGGGCTGCAAGTCCACGGCCAAGCGCGGGCAACACTGATCGGAGACTAATTATTTCACCTCTTTCCATAGGAAGCGAGTGAAAAGTCAGAAGACACAGGGTAACTTTGAGAGGAAAAGATTCTAACACGCCTAAAAATATCCATGAATTGATTAACAGTATCATACGTCAGGTTTACAGTTTCTTGTTCACACACGAAATGTATCAAAGTAGCAGATTTCTTCCAGACCCGTCCCAGTAAGTAACAGCTGCAGTGTCATTTTACACCGTCGCCGCCAGAGCAGTCCCATTCAGATAAATTGGAATAAACCTGCATACAAATGACGGTGAATACAGAAGGAATTTCACCAGAATGCAAACAGCCCTGTGGTTTGTGTCTGGTTCAGAGGATTTATCGTCAGCTGGAAACCTGGCCTTTCAGACACACGCACGCACTCCCGTCCCCGCTCACGGTCTCTCTCGATCCGAAAGATCGCTCATTACAGCTCATCCGTGCGTTCGCGTATTCACGACTGCTTATTAACGGAGATGAATATGAGCATTAAGCATTTTTAGTGCTTGCAAACAGGTCCTAAAACAAACCCCACGCTCGCTGGAAATTCTCGCCCCGCGCCCAGGGTTTACCTGCATCATCAAACAGCGCAGAGGATTTGTGGGTCTGACCTTTGTCGTCCGTTTATCAGACTATTAACTCAGCCTCGCATCCATTTTTAAAAGGTTAGCGGCTCCTCGGCGGTACCTTCTCCCAATTAAAATGAAAAATACACAGACGCAGGCCCGGAGTGGCTGCTCTGGGTGCGTCTTCACCCACAGCCTAGAGACTACCGATGAGAAGGGCGCACGGCCATCATCTGTCTGGAAATGAGGATCCTCTGCGTTGTGTGGATGCGAATATGAACATTGACGATCACGGTAAAAAAATGGTAATATTACAGAAGGTTACCTTTTATGCTTTTTAGTAAAACAACCTGAAATTAAAGCGGTTGTTTCATCTAATCATTCCAGATACTAACACCCGCATTCCCCAGTAATTTGTCTTTTATAATGTAGGGTGTCCCCAAAAAGCTGACAGCTCAATTGATGTTTCTTTCTTTTCAGATTTAACCCATTGGAGTTAATAATTATTCAAAGTATGTACACATTCTGGGGGGACACCCTGCACGTATTTCTTAGACAAAGATTTTGGACAGCCGCTTTCACTCAACTTTTAAACACAGGTATAGGATGATATTTCCCCGTGGAACAAGGGGATGGGCTCATCTTTCCTTTAAGGAAATTGCCCAGCGCAGCCACGGGAGGCAGACGCTCGCTCGGGGCCTTACTTTTGTACTCCAGGTGGAAGCCGGCGGCGGCCACACTGATGTCCGACTGGAAGTGCAGGTAGAGCTGGTTGGACGAGCTGTTCAGCAGGGCGGGCACCGTGGTACCTGTAAGGGACGTGGGGCGGCCGCTGAGCGTCACACCTGCGCCCGCTCGTCTAGATATAAGCTATGCGGGTACCTGCTCCTGTTCACCAGCCCCTGCAGCTGTCTGGCCCACACGCTCGCTCTGAGCCCGGCCCTCTTTCGGGTGCAGAGCTCACCCACTTCCTCTGCAGCTCCTGCCTACACCTCAGTGCAATGGTCTCTCGTGGGCTTTCCTTTAACAATATAACCTTATTATTTATTTTTTTACTTGAACAGAAAAGAGACACAATGTAACATGTGCGTGTTTCGGAGGCTGGAGGAGCCCCTGGAAACCCGGCTGATGTTCTATTCACAGGGCGTTGCCACCCGCTCTGCTTCCTCTTGGCCCCGCGTGATTCACGCTGAACAACGTTCCCCGAGCGATGAGACGGGTTTCAGATAAACACGTGTGAAGAGAAAAATAAATGCAGGCTTATTTTAAATATGTTTCCTTGCCTTGAAATGTTGTCGCCTGTGTTAGAGCAACTGGCACATCAGGGGACACAGAGGCCGGGACAAGGGAGACAAAGAAGCCCCCGGCCTCCCCCTCACCTGAGAAGCCCCCGGCCTCCCCCTCACCT